AAACAAGTTTTTTAGAACGAAATAGTAAATCTAAAAATATTGAAAATAGTGAACAAAGTTCTAGTATCCATTCCAGTGTTAACGATCTTAGAAGGTTTGCATTTTATTTGTCTTTTATATTATGTTAAATTTAATTTTAATCAAGTAATTATTTGTCTTAGGGAACGGAAAAATCTTATCAGACAACTTTTCCAAGATCTCTTTGATATAATGATCCCTCTTACTTCCCTTGGATATATTCATCTAGAAGATGGTGTAGTTGGTCTTGCTGGTGTATTCTCTGCTATTATTGGTGCTAAGATTCAATGGGAAAAAGTGAAATAAATATTTAATTAATAAATTTAATTGTGTTAATATTGTACTGGTGAAAAAATAATCAATGAATTTATAGAAAATTTATATATTTACCTTTCTAAGCATTTTTTTCTCATAAGCGAATTTACTACCGTTTGATACAGATGGGGTTAAACTAGTTTGAGTTTTTGATAAAAAATTTTTTATGCATAAATTAATATAATGAACATAAATTAATTAGTTTCCATCTATCTTTAAACCATTAAAGGTATCTGCCAATTTAATTTACTGTAAGATGATACCTGGTACAGTACGTACATACGTCTTGGATTTATTGTACGCACTTTTTTCTTGTCTCAATGTTTTACTATAAAAATCAGGTCTAAACGAGCGATAACATTTATTGTGCAAAAGTGTTAATATTTTTTTACTTGGTATATATAAAATATATTACCAGTAATAAAAATAGTACTATAGTATCTCTATACACAGTTAAGATCGTTTAATAAAATTTTATATTTAAATTCGTAATTACGTAGTGATACAATAAAAGCGGAATCATCAAATCCTTTAAGATCAAGCTCGCACTAGATGAGCTACCAACTCTAACAGACTTACATAAACGCAATCCAGACAAATACCCACGCTGCAACCGAGCTGATGAAACAACAAATTACTGCATATTCAAAAAGGCATTAAATTTAAATAAAGAAACTGAGACAAGACTTTAAAAAAAAAAAAAAAAAAAAAAAAAAAACAATAAAAGTGGAATTTAAGGCCACGCGAATTTAATTTATTGCTTCTCGTAACATGAAACTTTTTAAATAGACCCGGCCGGCCGGCTTTTTTTTTTTAATTTTATATATAACAATTTTATAAATTTTTTTAATATTTTTTTTTTTAAAAACTCACCCGGTTATTAAAACATATAAAAAAATTTTTTACTAAAATTTCAAAATTTGACTCGGCCAGGTTACGAGAACCAATTAATTAACTTTGCATGGCCTAATAATAATTTTTTTTTATAAGTAAAAATTATTCCCTCGTCACTGGTGGTCCTACTGTATTACTATATTAAACAGTCAAATGTATAGGATCCAAATATTACCTATACCAGAGAAGCCCCATTTGTCGCGATCCATTGATACAACGTTATATATTTATTACTGGGACGTGATTTCTTTCTTTTTTTTTTTATATCATCGTCATTGTCCTACTACGAACGCGAATTACGAATTACCATAGTATTACTGAATTAAGCAATCTTTGGCAGAGTATTACGTTTACTATTAATATCGAAAGATTTATTTATTCCCTGAATTAAGGAAAATACTTTTGATGTCGATATAACCAGTGACGTGTATAACCTAAAGGTAATATTGTATTATAATATAATTTTAAATTACTGCTATGCTAATAATAATTGGCTATACAGTATAGGCGCGTAATAACGCACATGGGCGTTATTTCGAAAATTCCATTTTTTTGAAAATCGCATATTTGACTCAAAA